TGGCAGCTAATGCATAATTCACCTCTCACCTCACACTTACATCAAAGGCAGTGATTGTTTAAACACTTCTGCCTCGACGAGCCCCGCTTTAAGTTAATTGCAGAGATGAAGGATACGTGTGATTCACTCCGACTGATTATGATCAGCTGTAGGTTCAGACCAGAGAGCTATCAATTATCCATACGGCCAGGCTAACACCTGAGTGACACCGCTGAGTGTCCTTACACTGGATGATTACACACTTCAGAAAGTGAACTGTGTGTGGTGGGGTTATTAATAATATAGCAAACATTAAAGGGTTAAATTTCTGGACAATCACAAAATATTAGCAAAAAAATTATATAAAAGAGTTCCTGTTTAGGTTTTGGACAAATGTGTAAACTGTTCTTACAGTAAAAATAAAAATCTTCTATATTTTAACAACTGAAAATAATGTCGTATAAAAATAACATTTTTTGCAGTGTGAGTTAACGCAAAGTCTGTTGAAGTGACAACAAATATTTTACTCCATTTTTTGTGTTGTATGTTCATTTTTTTTATTTTCTGTGTGGTTACAGCATCACCATGTACAGCAGATGGCGCCCTAGGTGACCACTAATGTGGCCTGCGGCTAACACACAGTTGAAGCCAACAGCTACCGGCACCAGCCACAGGGTGTGTCACACAGTGAACAGATCATCAGACATCACATGACCAACAACCCTTCACCCAAGAAATGAAAAGCTGCCTCTTCAACCAGGGCTGTTAAAGCCAACAGTGTTGACCTCTGACCTTTGAGGCTTCACTGATGCTAGGCGAACCACGGTGCCAAACGCACAACAATTATATATTAGATCAAGCATGTTCAAAGTATGGCCCAGGGGCCAGTTGCTGCCCATGGTCACATTTTATACGGCCCACAACCATTGTCAAAAAGTGACACAAAATGTTCATTTGCAATTCATTCCAATGGTTAATTGTAAAACAGTTGGGACGACCTAACATTAGAGGGACACGTCAGACTCGCAGCTATCCTGATGTGGCCTTCACCAAAACTACCAGAACCAGAGGAGAGAACAGGAGAGAGAACGTCTATTTCCTCCTGCCAAGACTTTGGTGTTCTGATTTTGTCACAAAAAAAAAAAAGAAAAAAAGCTGGCTCTTTGTTGTTTGATGCTGGTGTATCTCCAGAAGTGCCTGACCCAGTGGCACAGAATCTGTCTGTGAGAATGAGCACACAAAAAGGCAGGCAGTGGAACAAACTCCACTGTGAGGATTTATCCAACCTTTGTGCAGATCTGGCACCTGAGAGCTGACTTTGTAGCACCAAGTGAACGCCTCATTCATGGTTACTGAGAGGATCCGCCGTTACCTGACATGTGAGCACGACCTGCAGTTCACACAGCGACTCCGCGCTCACACTGAACCCACCTGGGACCCAGGGGGGGGGGGGTTTACGAACAGCCCGTCTACTCGTCTCTCCGTGCTGACGTCTGACCTTCTGGCATTGAAACAGGAAATGAAATAACTGTCACGGTGCCCCAGTGGCTGCGGCGTGATTCAAACTCATTAAGACAGTCGGCCTTGGGTGCGTTTGATTACGCTCAGATCGTCATGGACACTCGCTGGGCAGACTGGGATCTGCTGCGTCTGCTTCTGCGGCGTACAGGAGCTGAGGGCTGAAAAGATTTGGCAACTCATCTCCATGTCATACCAATGAAAGCCCGTCTCCAATTAGATTTGCCGAGGAAGAGCGACACATTGGCCTGCTCCTCAAAAGACAGAGCAAGAGGCAGAGAGAGGATAGAGGACAGAGAGAGAGAGAGGACAGAGAGAGAACGAGGGGGGGGGGCTGTTAAGGCTGGGAGAGATGGAGGAGCTTTACTTCAGAGGAAAAAAAAAACCATGAGAACGAGAGGGGTTCACACACATGCATGTGAGGATACACACACACACACACACACTTGTCTTTCTCCCCCTTTCATCTTCCCCTCTCTGTCGATCTCCCCTCCTCGAAATCTGAGAGCTGCCACTGTTGCTGTCATCTCTCCTCCGTCTGTGGCCGATGTGTTTAATCATCATTTCTCTGCTAACACACACACACACACACACACACACACACACACACACAGTGTGTTAATTAATCTCCGTGCACTGCCTCGTTCCCAACAGTATCTGTGCGTTTCACTTTAAACACGGTCAAATGTACCGCCTCGGAGCCTCCTTCTATTTTTGTCGAGGAAACTATGGCAGAAGTGATGAAATATGAGTCACTGCCGCGGCGGCCACTAGAGCGGCGATGATGATCAAGACCAAGAAGAGGAGGATAATGAAGATGACGACGAAGATGATGACGGTGACAGACTGAGACACACTTCCTCAAAGTTTGTTGTGTTGCAACGGAACGGAACAGATCCAGCAGTAAGTTTGTGAAAGAATTGTACAAACGCGGTCCAGTTCAGACCGTACTGTGTATGAATCCAACAGCCGGTGCACAGACAGCAGCTTGTTCACCTGAACCTGACACCCGGTGAGAAGAGCTCACACATCATATACTGCAGGTGACGTCTGACCGCCTCTATTTATAGTAGGTACAGTATATATCAGATTAGATCTCTGCAACGACAAGCTGCTGGTTAAAGAAGCACATGTCCTGTGGGGGCGCTATACAGTGTTTACATATCCTGCCATGTGGGGGCGCTATACAGTGTTTACATAATCTGTATGTTGCAACATAAATGATACAAATATATGTATATGTACACAATATATTCATTATACATATACACATGCTGTATATACAGTATTATATATGTATATATGTATAATATATGTATGTGTACATTATACATAT